AGAGAACCCCAAGGACTCCACAGTTCAACCCTGAGCTACACATATTCTCTTCTATTGATACATTGTACTAATTCTGATATTTATAAATTAAGTATTGTGGTGTATTTTGCCAATTCTGTTTGTCTCTATGCCCACTCTTGTGATGAGTTCCTGCAGTTCAAAATTTTATTGCTACAGTATATTGCTATACATACTGTAAAGATGGTAAGTATGGATGGGTCTTTCTTGCTGATAGCTTGTGAAGGTATTGTCAAGTAAAGGAACTTGGCCAAAAGCTGCTTGGAAGATCTACAGAAAGATTAGTCTTTAGACTGACTGTCTTGTTGGTGTTTTTCATTACTGATATAAATACAACCATGTTCTTTTGACTGTAATGATATCAACTTTGATAGTGGATCCTCTGCCCTTTTGGCTGAAATCTAGAATAAAAGAAATGACCTAAAAACAAGACAAATGTTGACATAAAAATAATTTTTCTTTGATAGCCCAGAGAAAGAAGGGTTTAAGAAGCGGTTGAGGCTGCAGCAGGGAAACGAGGCTGATGAGAATGATGAGAATGAGGCAGAAGAGGTAAGAGGTTTTCCTCTTCATGTGTGTGTAACTTGTTTGGTCTTTTACTCACCCATCCATTGTGCTCCACTTACTGCAGAAACTTGATAAAGAGGATGAGAGCTATTTTTCTACATATTAAAATGCAAACTCAGCTTGGACTAAAAGGATTTCCATGTGAGTTTTCCAATTAACCAAATTTAACCTCTATTTTCAGAGTCTCCTGACATAGCCAATTGCCAGCTAATTCCTTAAGCTTCATAATGAAATATCTTGCCTCACCCTCTGCAGAAATTGCATGCTTTTCTTTAATCTAATGCCATTCAGCATGTTAAGTGGAGAAGGCAGGCAACAGGCTTGTCCTGTGTAGTGGGTCAATATTGGTACTTTTCTGTCTCAAACCTTGAGTGACTTTGTGGGGTGCTCTTACGTTCTTAAATAAAAGTGGGCATAAACGCATATATATAAATGAAAGGTGACCCTGCAGTACTCAGGTAAACCTCGGCAGGTACACAGCTAGAGGAAGACCTGATCCAAAACTGGTAAGGCTCTGCATAAAGCCCATTTGAAGGCATATGCTATGGTGATAGGCCCAGCTAAGAAGCAGGGGACTTGCTATCAATCAATCAATAGCTAGTATAATATGAATTATAAATCAAAATAAGAAATTGCAAACATTTCAGTCTAATTCAAGAATTCTATCCTTATTTAGCAAATCAGACAAAAGCTTAGGGCTTTTAATGTATTGCGGTTTATCATAAGAATCATAAAGGAATATCACAACTCTTAAAATAGGAATGAAAACAGAAAAAGAGAACAGCTAGAATTAATAATTAAAATTAACGTTTGAATCAGCAGTTAAAAGCCTGTACAAAATAGGTATTTTAAAACCTGAGCTCTACTAGTTGAGTTTGCATGACTGTAGGCAAACCTCAGTAAGGGTGCAGGTTCATACAGAAGGAAGCAGCCCCTCGAAAAGCCGAGATCTAAGCTGTGTAGGGTTTTAAACATAGCATCCACCACTTTGTATTTTGCACAGAAATGAATTGACAGCCAATGCAGTGCCTTGGACACCAAGCTTTCTCAACACCTTTTCTGAGTCCTGACTGAATTTTCTAATTGGATATGGCATCATTGTCTATTGATTGGATTCTTAGTGTTTTCTGTTCACTGGAAGAGTATGGTTAAAATTAAGAGGGGAGGTATGATTTACCGGAGGTAACATCTCCTCTCTAATCTGACAGCCTCCAGATATATGGCAATTCAACTCTTAGAATTCCAAACCTTGTCTGTGTGTTGAAATCCCAACACATCTGGAGGACATTGGCTGAGAGGAGGCTGTCTTAAACATTGCAAAATTCACCAGACCAAGTTACCACCAAAGTCAGTTCCTGTGATGGAATGGTTTGGTGAAGGCCACGCTTGGGGAAATAAGCATTTCCTTAGCCCCCAGCAGGAACGTGGGAAGGTTAAGAAGATGAGACTGGCACCACCCTAAGGAATTCATGGGTTTTGCTTGCTGGTTTGAGAAGTTTAGATTCAGTCTGGCAGGAATCTGTCTTGTGGCTGGAAGCTAATAAAAGTTATCGGACTAGATCTGTACTGTCTCGTGGAGTTCTTTGGGCTGAACCTGACAGTTCCTACTGTAGCAAAATGAGCAAAGAACCAAGAGAAATAGACAACAGTACATCAGATGCAAGAAGAAATTGGGAGGGGTTAATATTATAATAACTTGGAAGGAATAGTATTGCAACTTCTGTATTGTTTTTTATCATGGCTTTCCTCCTTTTTAAGGAGGAAAGGGATGAAAGTGGCTGTGAGGAAGAAGGTGGCCAGGAGGAAGAAGATGAAGAAGATTCAGGAAGTGAAGAAAGTTTGGTGGATTCTGACTCAGATGTTGAAGAAAAGGGTAATATTATGCAGTAAATGTTGAAGAACTATTGCATAGTGCATAGTGCATAATGCCATCGCTGTAATGATGAAAATATAAGAACCATCATGTCAGAAAAGATTAAAAGTCCCATTTTGTCCAGCAACTGTTTCTACATTGGCCAATCGCTGTGCCAGTGAAAATCTCAGAAGTAAAGCATGAATACAATAGCAAAAGAATTTTTCCATTCATGTTTCTCACAATAGAATGTATGCATAACAGCAGTACTGGTTTCAGGTGCATATGAGTCTTTTATTAGGATTGATCAGTGCACAGGCCATATGCTGTCATCTTAAGTATTGTTGTAGCATTTCCCAATTACCTGGGAACATGCTGGACATGCTGGTAGGATGATGGAAATTGTTATCTAACATACTGGGTGGAAAAGGCCATGTTACATTTCAGAAGAGGCATTGTGCATTCCTGTCATAAAAAAAAGCTGGAGTGAATTTAGTTAACATCATCTTTGAAGCCTGGTACAGCTCTTGGTTTTGCCAGTTCTTTGGGTGGCACTCTGTTACGCTTATGTGAGTATGGGCAGCCACACATGCGCTGACTGAGATTAAAAGAAAAGCCATGAGAATTTCTCCAAGCAAAACAGGTTTGAAATACCAGCAACTCTGTTCAGCAGCAGAAATATAATCATATCAAGTGCCTTTTGGTGGAGAAAAGGGAAATATGACTGAATCAGAAGGGTGCCTGGGGTGCAAGATCATGGCAGGTTGCATGGTACATTTATTTGTATCTCTTTTTTCAATTTATTTAGCAGCAAATTTCCAAGCTGATCTGGCTGACCTGACCTGTGAGATTGAGATCAAACAGAAACTAATAGATGAACTGGAGAACAGCCAGCGGCGCCTGCAGACTTTGAAGCACCAATATGAGGAAAAGTTGATTCTGCTGCAGAACAAGATCCGTGACACTCAGCTGGAGAGAGACAGGGTGCTGCAGAATCTCAGTAAGGGCATACTGGTTGGGAAAATGGGATATTTACAGGTTGATCAGAGTCTGCTTGCGTTGTTCTGGTATTGAAAGACTTTTTATCCGAATGCACAGCCAAAGCTGTGGCCTGAATGTGGAAGAACTATCTGAGTCTCAAACGCGTATTAATGAGTCTTCAGCTTGAACGCTTTGGTTGGATTTACACTTATGTTAAACCATGATTTGTTTTAATTGCAGTGTAATTAATTAATTAATTAATTTAATTCATCCATAATGTTAACTCTGTAAATTATTGCTGACATACCACAATAACTAGGTATGCACAACATGCTAACTCATAACTTGCTATACCCAGTATGGTGCAATGTATGAATCAAACTTCACTGTCAAAATGGTCAAATGCTGTGTAGTGAGTGAGTGATCACCACAAAGACCAGTTTAAGGAGTTTCACATGTGTATGAAGCCCAGTTTCCTTCAAAGTGTATGCTTTTCTTTTCTTATCTACTATTATCTCCTTATGATGGAAAACTAAGCTATATGTTCAGAAAAAAAGTTATAGTATCTTCCCAGGAATGTACCATTTCAGAATATAAGATGAAGGTTGCATTATTGAATGCTTTCCCCAAATAATGCTGGGAGAAGACTGCGACTCTTTCTACTAGTATGCTAATTACTGCTTTGATAGGGATTGGAGAAAAAGTCAGTCATGCAGTTCTTCAACATGTTCTCTGAATGGGTGTGGTCCTGGGAAGGTTTTGCTATATTCTTCTTGAACTGTGATTATGATCCTAATAATTCCAGGAGAATGTGGAATTTAGAGTTCCATAGGAAGAGTGCCAGAAATTTATTTTTTTAGGTCTTCAAATATGGTTGCAGTAGGTTAGATCTGTTTGAAAAATCTCCCTTAGTTTGTCTTAATTTGTGTTATTTGTTTATTACATTTCTGCCTTCTCAGAAACTGCTCCAAGTACAGTGCCTTCATAGAGATTTACATTAGTTTCTTTGTCTTCCTCTTTTTTCTCAGGTTCTATGGAATGCTATACGGAAGAGAAGGCTAACAAAATTAAAGCAGATTATGAGAAACGTTTAAGGGAGATGAATCGGGATCTGCAGAAATTGCAGGCTGCCCAGAAGGAGCATGCTCGCCTCCTCAAGAACCAGTCTCGATATGAGCGAGAGCTGAAGAAGCTGCATGCAGAAGTAGCAGAGATGAAGAAAGCCAAGGTAATTCACTTGAAAAGTCAGTTATACCTTTTTTTTCTTGTTGTTGAGTCTGGGTTTTTTTTGGTGAATCTGTTTCTCTCCTGACTACGTTGGGCATAGGCCAGAGGCAAAGAGTCTGAGAAGGAACATTTGTTGAACAGTGTAACATGGAAAAACATTATCTCTCTTTCTCTCTTTCTCTCTTTTTTTAACTAGGCTTTTACAGAGAGAATCTTGTCCCATTTTTATCTTCTGAAAGGTTTAGTGAGGATTGATTAGGCCAAAAGTTAGTAACTTGTCATCAGCTGTGTGTTTAGCTTGATATCCTAGCAGAGATTTGAATTTGGGTCATCTCCATACAAACTAAACTCCTGCCTTGACAGTATCAACTATTTATACCCTCCAGTTAATCAAATGTAGACCCTTCATTGCTGTTTTGGTAAGACTGTCTTTCCCATTGTGACTATTATTGAGTTGACATATCACTGTTACTTATAGGTAGCGTTGATGAAACAAATGCGTGAAGAGCAACAAAGACGACGATTGATAGAGACCAAGAGGAACCGGGAGATTGCCCAATTGAAGAAAGAGCAACGTAGGCAGGAGGTGAGTGAGAACATTTTTTGTCCCATGCTCCAGAATTTCCAGCTTTGGGGGTCCTTTCTTAGTAGAGTTGACCAATAGCTGTGGTGTGGGTGGAAGGGAGAGAGGAGGATAGATTGAAAGGGAAGTCTGTCTGAATGTATTAGGCCCTGCAACTTTTGACCCTGCTACATAGATATGGATGTTGGAGATGTGGCCAACTATTGGAGGCTTATGTAGAATTGGCATATTGGAGGCTTATGTAGAATTGGCATATTGTTTCATCCCCTCCTTCATACATTCCATGAGTAGTTTAGGTTGTGTGCATGTATAAAGGTTGTTTTCACAATATGTATATCAATAAATTATTCCATAGAAATGAACCTCTAGTCTTAAGAATGTATGTGGTTGTTCAGGAAAGGGGCCATTGCAGAAGGTTAAGTCTAAGTAAATATGGTTATATTCTAATTTAATAAAGTAAGT